CTAGTTTGGGCTATCCAGGTCAGGGCTTTATATCACCTAAAAAGGTAAAGGTAAAGGTGTATAGTTATACAACTGTTATGTTTAAAGGTTGTTAAAAAGAAAGAAAGAAAAAGGAACGTATTTTCTGATAAATTGTGAAGCAAAGGCGCCTGAGTGTGTCTGTAAAGTATTAGGGAAGAGATCGCACTGTGTTCCAGGGAGATAGCGCAGCAGGTAGGGCAACGTCAGTGCCTCTTCTAGAACATTCATCTTTTGCTTGTAGTCTGGACTACACAGGTTGGACTGGCACCCTGTACATTTCGAGGGAGGGTACCAAATCACATGGCCTTCCGGTCCTTCCCAATTCCAGTTCCATAATTCCCTGTGATTTAAGTATTCAAACATGGCGGAATCACAACTGCATCCTTGAAAGAGAACGCTCGGCTTGAGGGACCGGTGAGGGGACTTTCTTTTATATATATAGATGGAGAAGCTGAGACTCATAAATATTTTAAACAACATCTCATCAGAAGATCCCTATTGAAGATATGGGAAGATAAAAGACTTGTTTTTATTGAATATATTACCAGAAAATTGTAAAAGGCAAGATTCTTATCTTATTATACATGTAGTGACAGCTGCAAGAATATTATATGCCAAATACTGGAGGGAAAATGAAGTACCTTCAAAAGAAGAAATTTTAAATAAAATACTTGAAACTGCAGAGATGGACAAATTAACTTTAATTTTGAGATGACAAAACGAACAAAAATTTGAGAATACATGGTCAAGGTTTTATAAATGGATGGAAGAATACAGTAAATAAACCATATGGACATACAACCAAATCAGAAGAAAATATGAAGAAAATTTTTAGTTATGAGCAAAGTTCTATTCAAATTTACATGGTGGGGGAAAATAAAGAAGCAAAATATATAATTAGATAATGTATGAGGTAACTTAACGGATAATGTGTTAAATGGAAACCCCAACCTATATGTATGTCTGTATGTATGTCTTTGTTTTTTGTTGGTCTTTTATAAAAAAAATAAATGTGTTTTTAAAGCTCATGAAGTCAGTTGTGATTTGATGGCTTGTTTTGCCATATTGAAATACAAACGTGCACCAAACGAACTCCAGGCATTGTTGTGCCTGTTTTAAAAACAATCTCAGCTTCTTCGACGTAGGAACTCTGCCCTTGAGTTTCCAGCTGCAAAAACTCAGACTTGTTTCCCATTGAGTTGGCTGCATTCAGTACTGCCAGACTTTTTCTTTCTCGGCTGCGTTCTGCACAGTACATCCCCTCCCAGTGGCTGGGACTTGCATTCCCAGCTGCAGCAATGCCAACAGGTCCTTAGTGCCACCTCCTGCAGCCAGTTTCTATCCCTGCTGGCTCAGATAGGCAAGTCCTACTGAATTCAGTGGGCTTTACATCTATGCAGTTCTTCTATGAGTGACGTTGCAGAATATAAGCATTAACACAGGCCATACTACTCAAGTCCTCCAGTAGATGGCGTATGTGATCCACAATTTGTTCAACCGCGGCTCTTTCCCCGTTCCCCAATGTCTTTTTAATCCCTATTCCTTCTATCTCTCTCCCTCCCACCTCCAGTCTCCCTGTGGGCGGGATTCTTATTGATGCTGAAGAAAGGACAGGTATAATTGGATGCCACGGTGAGCTAGCAACCCACCCCCACTCGCCCACCCCCGCCAGCCAGCTTTTTACAGCTCGTTTTCAAAACATGTCTCTTTGCTGTTCTGCTGTGGTTCGGGATTGCATTCTTTCCATGTTTTCTGTTCCCACAAGGAAGCTCCCCCCAAGCCATAATAGTGGATGATTAAGGCATCTTTAAAAAAATATATAGTTAGGAAAACCATCTCATTCCTTTACAGATGATCAAAAATATATTAAAGACATGCACGCATACATACACATAAAATCACCTTTGCGTTCATGAGACAATTGCTTTGTCAAGGTCACTGTGTCTTCCCATTGGCAGTTTCTCTTCCCAAGACTTAGATGCTGTGATTTTTTTTCCCCTTTCGCCTAGCCTACCTTGCAGGGTTGTTGTGAGGATAAAGCAAAAGGGGGGCAAAGCCCTGTGCAGTGTTCTGAGCTTCTTGGGGTTAAAAGTTGATGCATTTCTCTGCAGAGAAGGCTGTTGGAAAAGTTTTTGCTTTTATCTGAGCAGGGGAAAGAAATTACACACACACACCCCTGTGGATTTTCTTTATAATGCAGTGTCACCCAGGAGAGCAAGTGTACTCTCAGGGAGTTTCTCCATGATGAATGTGATTATACTGGGATGATTCTTCCACATGGTGAGCCTGGCCCAACACCAACCACACCCTTTCCATCCTTCATGGCCAAGCAGGGGTTAAGTGGAGAGGCGGAGCCCCAAGCTGTCATCCATATTCAGGGCCTTCTTATCGGTAGCCCCTTCCCTGTGGAACTCCTGTGTCTGTAGGAAATGTTGGGAAATGTTGAGAACAAGTGGCAGGTGCCATCATGAAAAGAGCTGGCTGGGGAGTGGGACACAGCCCACCCTAAAGTGGCTGTCACACGGGGCCAGTCACAAAACGTCGGGAGGTTCCAAGCCAAGCATCTGCCTTGGATGGAGGCAGCTGTTTCTGAATGGTTGCTCCCTGCAAATACAAAAGTGGCACCTCCTGGACTCTTCTGAAGTACATCCTCCTCCAGTGAGGCTGAGGAATGTGAGGACCGGCTCTTTGTTTTGGGGAAGAAGGAAGTGGATGCCAGCAAACACATCTGGGGTGCCAATTATGCACGAATTGGGGATCATGGCGCCTTCTGTATCCTACAGTGTTTACTGCTTGGGTAGTTGAGTTTTGCCCTGAACTGGATGGCCCAGGCTAGCCCAGTCTTGTCAAATCTTGGGCGCTGAGCAGGTGAGTATTTGGGTGGGAGGCCACCAAGGAATCCCAAGGTAGCTACACAGAGGCAGACCACCCCTGCTTGTCTCTCTATCTCTCTGCCCTGAGATCGCAGAAGCTAAGCAGGGTCTGCCCTGGGTAGTACTTGGATGGGAGGCCACCGAGGAAGTCCCAAGGTCAGTATGCAGAGGCAGGCAACGGCAGACCACCTCTGTCAGTCTCTTGCCTTGAAAACCCTATTGGGGTTCACCATTAGTACAAGGGACTTGGTGGCACTTTCTACCACCCGGTCAAGTTATGGAAAGGCAGAATGTACTTGGGCACACATTAGTGATTTTTTTAAAAAAATAAATAAATCCCAAAACCTCCCCATAAGGGATAACGGACAGGGAATCACCAGGGATTGAAACGGGATAATAGGAACAGTCTCTGGGAAATGGCAAGGCACATAGGAGATGTGAAAAGTCCTCTCAAGTCCCACCTGTGGTTCCCAAAGGCCACAGAACCATGGGCTCAATTGCAGGCAGTGAAATCAAACCATGCATTAAAAGGTAAAGGTTCCCTTGCTCGAAAGCCAGTCGGGTCCCAATCTAGAGTTGTGGTGCTCATCTCCGTTTCAAAGCCGAAGAGCCAGCGCTGTCCGAAGACGTTTCCGAGGTCATGTGGCTGGCATGACTAAACACCAAGGTGCAGGGAACGCTGTTACCTTCCCACCAAAGTGGTACCTATTTATCTACTTGCAGTTTCTTGCTTTCGAACTGCGAGGTTGGCAGGAGCTGGAACTAGAGACGGGAGCTCACTCCGTCGAACTGCTGAATTACTGACCTTCCACAGCCTGCAGTTCAGCGTCTTAACCTTTAAAGGGCTGCTGCAGGGAGGACGCTGCTGCAGGGGCTGCGCGGGGCGGAGGACCATCCTTTAAAGACCACTCATCCGTTTCCTCCTCCTGGACCCAGTCTCTATTCTCCCCCAAGCTACGCTTGCTGCGCTCTTTCTCTGCGAAGAGAGGAGCGGCAGAATTCAGAAAGAGATGAAGCCCCGGGGAGGAACAGACTGGACGTCACCTCCTCCACCCAGGAAAAGGCGGTGCTTCCACCGGGAGCCGGCTCCTCCCCTCAAAACAAGGCGAGAGAAGCGTGCGGGAGCAAACTAGGTAAAAGCAAAAAAGGCCAGCCCCAGGCGGGCTTACAGCGAAGGCAGGCAGGGGCACAAAGCTCCTTCCAGCTCCCAATTCCTCAGCCAGTTTGGTGTAGTAGTGAAGTGCACTGACTCTAATCTGGGAGAGTCCCCACTCCTCCACTTGCACCTGGCTGGATGACCTTGGGCAAGCCGTAGCTCTGATAAGAGCTGTTCTCGAAAAAGCCCCCCCCCCCCACCTCCCAGGGTGTCTGTCTTTTTGTTGTGGAGCGGGGGAGGGACACAAGACACCTTTGGGTAGTGAAGGGGGGGGGGTATGAATCCAATCTCTTCTTCTCTACCTGCTCCCGGGAGCTATTGTTCGATTGCACGGCGGTACCGCCGCGTTCGGGGCCGGCCACAGGCCTCCTTCCAGCCGAAGGGGTGACCCTCCCCCCCAGGGGGTGCCCCCCCCCCCCCCCCCAGTGCAGTTCCTCGAAGTGAAAGGAAGCCGGGGGAGGAGGGGAATTTCCTCCTTATCATAACGTCTTTATTGCAAAGCAGGAAGTTTCGTGCTTGGGACTGGGAGAGATAACAGCAGCAGTTGGAGGCAAAAGCGTGTGGATGTATCAATGCATAGAGAGTCAGCTGCGGGAAGGGAGGCCCCGGTGCACGTGTGGGGCGGCCTGCAAAGAACATCCTGTAGGATACCCCGATGCCACCCCCACCCCATGCCACTGTGGCGAGGGTTTAATTGATCAGCGCCTTGTCCCAAGAAGTCACTGGAGCAACCGAGAAGTTGCAAAAACTAAGCGGATATGACAGCAGTTCAGCCCCTACCTGGACCCGCCCACATCCTCCTTCCCCCCCTTCTGAAAGGACCGTCCTTAACTCTAAGACACCTGTCCCAGCCAATCCGCATCTTCCTCCGCCCCTGCGAACTGAGAATCCACCAATCATAGAGCCCCAGCAGCAGCACGTGCTCTTTCCTTTTCCTCCCAGCACTTCTTTCTTTTTGGTATCTCCCAAACTTCCTTTGTCGGGGAGACTACACAGACTAACCCAGTCCCTCACCGGCCCGCCTTGCCCGCCCCGCATGGTCTCCTCAGACGCCGCTGGCAGGATTTCACTCACTCCTCCCCCCCTCTTTCTCAGCCGCCACAACTCGCGAGGCCTCCATGACTGACGGACGGACTGCGGGGACCGAAAGCGAGGCTGCTGGCTGCCACAGCTATTGTGAGACTCCCTCTTCTCTCTCAAACCTTTGAGAGTACCAAAGAATAGTATTATCTGCTGGGTATTACCTGCTGAGCAGTATTATCAACTGGGTCTCTGCATCATCTTAGCTTTGAGGAATCTTGTTTTTGTGTATGTGCGCGCCTGTGTGTGCACATGGAGGTCATGCCATGGTGACAGACCCTTACTGGGGGGGAGGGGGCTGGAGGATATTCAGAGAGGTGCTGAATAAAGCCTGCCTCCTCCCTCTGGTATTCCAAGGAGGTCTCCCATCCAAGTACTTGCCAGAGTCAATCCTGCTTCGCTTAGAGAATTGATGAGATTGGGTTTGCCTGGGCTACCCAGGTCAGGGCAGCTTTGAGGAATCTTGATTACATGATCGATCTAGCCGTTTGTAAACGTATTTTGATTAGTTATGGATCTCTGCTTGTGCTAGGAGACTCCAGTAGTAATTATGTCCTAGCCATGTTTATGCAGTGGGACATGGGATCAGGCTTCCTTCTGAATAATGTTACCTAGAAGTAACCCCACTGCAATCAATAACAATGACTTCCATCCAGGCACATATGCTTAGGATCGCAGCTGATCCTATGCATTTTATTCATACCCACCCTTGCCCAGTGACTCATGTGGGAGCACCTAATTGGGTAACTGGCAAAACAAAATAGTCATGGATATGATCAGTGCTTACATGGGAGCTTATTTATTTATTATCACATTTATACCCTGCTTTTCCTTGTGGTTCAAAGTATCTTACAATAGTAATGAAAACATCTGCAGTTAAAATCAAAATACCAAACTCTAGGTTCCTCCCCCCCCCCTTTAAAAGGTGTCTGCCATTCAAACCATCTCAAAAGCCCTGGTCAAGTGGTGGGATGGCCAGCCAGTGGCTGCCTGAAGACCATCGTTGGCACACAGGGACATATGGAAGGAGATGGCTTTAAAAGTCATAACCAGCACTTTGAATTGAACTTGGAAACAAACTGGCTGCCATTGTAGCTATTTCAAAATGGGCACTGTACATTCCAGCAGCTAGCTGCTGAGAATAGTGGGGCTGCTGCATTCTGGATCACTTGGGAGCTCTATGTGAATTGTGTCAGACTCTCGAAAGAAAGAGCCTTATTTCAGTACCAGAATAAACACGCTTATTTATTTCTTTATTTTATTTTTCTTTATTTTATTAAATTTATACCCCACCCTCCCCGCAAACAGGCTCAGGGCGGCTTATATTGGTTGGTCCACAGTGACCATTAAATCTACATAAAATTATTTAAATAGTTCAGTTACAAGTAAAATCATAAAATTATAAAGTGCTGGACACATGTCATTAATTAGTTAAGATGGCGTACTAAAGTGCATACATACATATAGCGCACAGTATTTCAGCTCAGCAATCTTCCTAGGTCGCGCGATGGCACAGGCCTGATGCTAACATTAAGGCCCAGGATCTATACTAGGATTGTTGGTGGTAGTAAGGTGGCTTCTTAGTTGAAGAGCTCCATCTTGCAGGCCCTGCGGAACTGTAAAAGGTCCCTCAGGGCCCCGATCTCCTCCGGGAGCTCGTTCCACCAGTATGGAGCCACCACTGAGAAGGCTCTGCCCTGGTAGTAGCAAGCCTGGCATCCTTAGGGCCCGGGAGGGCAGCCTTTGTGCACTGCTTTTATGCATCAAGTTTCCCATTAAGGAAACAAAGTGAAACAAGCAGTGAAAATGTGAGGATCTTACTTCGCTTAGTATGAACCTCTTACAGCTATTTCTGTCTTTGCATTGTGTGTGCTTTTCATATCTACTTTTATCTTCTTTCAAATTTTTTTTTGGGGGGGTTTAGTACCCTAGGAGCAAGCTTCTCTTTGTACAAAGTACCATTTCTGGTATGTCCTCTTGGAGACATGGCCAGTGCCATGTGGTTCGTTCAAAATCAAAGCAAGCAAATGTTTTGTCTGTAATCTTTCCCAACTATTCCTTTTGTGTGTCCTAACATCCTGTTTCATCTTTGTTTTGTTTTACTCCAGCCGTAAACTGATCAGAAGTTATCATTGAGTCATCATGTTGTTGTTGTTGTTCAGTCGCACAGTTGAGTCCGACTCTTCGCGACCCCATGGACAAGATCTCGCCAGGCCCTCCTGTTTTCCGCCGTCCTCTGAAGTTGGCTCAATTTCATGTTCGTTGCATCTATGACACTGTCTAACCATCGCATCCTTTGCCATCCCCGTCTTCTTTGACCTTCAATCTTTCCTAGCATCAGGGTCTTCTCCAGTGAGTGCTCCCTTCTCATTTGGTGGCCAAAGTCTTTGAGCTTCAGTTTCATTATCTGGCCTTCCAGGGAACAGTCAGGGTTGATTTCTTTTAGGATTGACTGATTTGATCTTCTTGCAGTCCAAGGAACTCTCAAGAGTCTTCTCCAGTACCACAGTTCAAAAGAATCTATTCTTCGGCGCTCGGCCTTCCTTATAGTCCAACTCTCGCAGCCATACATGACTACTGGGAATACCATTGCTTTGACCATGCGGACTTTTGTTGGCAGGGTGATGTCTCTACTTTTAATCATGCTGTTTAGGTTCGCCATCGCTTTCCTCCCAAGGAGCAGGCGTCTATTAATTTCATGGCTTCTTTCACAGTCTGCGGTGATCTGGGATCCCAGGAACGTGAAGTCTGTCACGACTTCCATGACTTCCTCTTCTATTTGCCAAGGAGTGATGGGGCTGGATGCCATAATCTTAGTTTTTTTGATGTTGAGCTTCAAGCCCACTTTTGCGCTCTCCTCTTTTACCCTGAGCAAGAGGCTCTTTAGGTCCTCTTCACTTTCTGCCATTAGAGTGGTATCGTCTGCATATCTGAGGTTGTTGATCTTTTCCCCAGCAATCTTAATTCCCGCTTGTGATTCATCCAGGCCAGCATTTCGCATGATGTACTCTGCATATATATTAAATAAGCATAAATAAGCAATACATCCTTGTCGTACTCCTTTTCCTATGCTAAACCAATCAGTTGTTCCATATCCGGTTCTAACTGTTGCTTCTTGGCCCTTATACAGGTTTATCAAGAGACATGTGAGGTGGTCTGGTACTCCCATCTCTTTAAGGACCTGTCATAGTTTGTTGTGATCCACACAGTCAAAAGCTTTAGCATAGTCAATGAAGCAGAAGTAGATGTTTTTCTGGTACTCTCTTGCTTTCTCCATAATCCAGTGAATGTTGGCAATTTGATCTCTAGTTCCTCTACCTCTTCGAAACCCAGCTTGTACTTCTGGCAGTTCTCTATCCACGTACTGTTGAAGCCTAGCTTGTAGGATCTTGAGCATGACCTTGCTAGCGTGTGAAATGAGTGCAATTGTGGGATAGTTTGAACATTCCTTGGCATTGCCCTTCTTTGGGATTGGAGTGTAAACTGACCTTTTCCAATCCTGTGGTCACTGGTGCATTTTCCAAATTTGCTTGCATATTGAGTGCAGCACTTTAACAGCATCATATTTTAAGACTTTGAATAGCTCAGCTGGGATACCATCACCTCCACTAGCTTTGTTGTTAGTAATGCTTTCTAAGGCCCATTTGACTTTACATTCCAGGATGTCTGGCTCGAGGTCAGCGATCACACCGTCATGGTTGTCAAGGACATTGAGGTCCTTCTTGTATAGGAAGAAGGACAAGAAGAACTGAAACTGCTACCCTTGGGTTAAGCCCCAATTGGTCAGAATGTCCGTATAGCACTTGCTTTCAGCCCCGGAAAAGGGGGGGGGCTTTCCTTTTGGGAAATAACATGGATGTGAGAGGTTAAGCCTACTTTGCTGTTGCCACATTCCCAATCCATGTTGTGTCTCCCACCCACCCAGGATGTAGGAAATGTGTGCTGTTGCTGGGCTTATGCAAAGTTACAGAGATCGTGGGGCATTTTAAAAACCTGGGCACTTAACCCCCCCAGATCCATTTGCAAGGTTATGGCATCCAGATGTACATTACATATATCACACCTGAGATGTGAGATTTTGGACAATAGCAACATTTCTAGTAGTAGCTATATGAAAAAGTAAAGTATAGATAACTACCAAACAATGGGTTGACAAGCTGTGGGAGATCCTCATACTGGACAAAATGTCATCACAAGTAAAGTAGTTAACATCTCCACTTTCTCCACCAACGTTGTCCTTAGATGGTTGCCTTTTCTAGAATATGTAAAAAAATTGATTGTGATTGTTTCTGAAAGGCTAAAATGTCATCCTAAGCAGAATTACACAGTTCTAAGGTCATTGCTGAACACTTGGCTGGAATTTTTGTATTTATTTACTTCATTTATACCCCATATTTTTCTCCAGTGGGGACCCTAAGTGACTGACCTTGTTTTCCTCTCCATTTTATTTTCACAACATCCCTGTGAGTGTGTGACTGGCCCAAGGTCACCCAGTGAACTTCTGTGGTAGAGCAGGGATTCGAACCTGTGTCTCCCAGATCCTAGTGTGACATTCTAACCCAGGGGTGTCAAAACTCATTTGTTATGAGGGCCAGATCTGACATAAATGACACCTTGTTGGGCTGGGCCATGTGTGTCATAAAATTTAATGCCAGGTAGCGGAGATATAAACTTTATAAAGGACACAAACACAAAGGGTTTTTTTTTTAACTTAAAATAAAAACATGCTTAAAACATTAGCACTCTCTGCAATATTTTGTTTATTGAACAGTGTCTAACAACTGACACATCGTGCTCTGAATTATTGCATCAAAATGTCTGTGCTGCTGTTCAGGTGTGTATCTGTAAGCTGCACACCTACAATGATGCTGCAGCAGCAGAACTGGAAGCAGAAGCAGAAGACAGCCAGTTCCACTGCGGGCCTGATAGAAGTCCTCCAGGGGCCTGATCTGTCCCCCGGGCCGCATGTTTGACACCCCTGTTCTAACCACTATACCACACACTATTTCAAGTCTTTATTAAAAATAATCTGGTCCATTAGAATATTTAACCTTAGGGACAAGCCCTTTTTTCAGTGTCCAACAGAGTTGTTATGCTATATTTCATATGAGTCAACAATTGTCTCCTTCAGTGTAACTGCCATGCTGTTTGTTAATTGGTATGTTTTGTACTGTTGATTCTGTTACCACTACATGTTTGTAATATTTTATGAAAAAGAATAATGAAACAGTGAACGCAATTGCTACACAGAAGTATCACTGTACACAGTACATACTTATGAAATAAGAAGCTGACTGTTACATTATACTTACAGAACAAAATGACAACACGTCTTCTGTTTCTGGCCTAATCGAAAATACTCTCATCTGTGTGTAGTTAGTATTAAAATCCTACTTGCAGATTATTCAGTAGTTGAATATTTCATTCTATTCTAATATTTCTGATATTCTCCTAGGAGGAAAGAATAAATCTTTTGATTTATGGCTGCATCAAGACAAGTGGCTGCTTTCCGTCTCCCACCTCTGCCAACAATTGGAGAGATTATTAAACTGTTTAAGCTTCGAGCTTTAAAACAGCTATCTCAAAACTTTCTTCTGGACCTGAAACTTGCAAGTGAGTTGCCTTTTCAGTTATTTTATTGAAGAACATCATGGTTTTCTGAAGAACTTCAGTTGTGCTTGGATAGATTTTGTTTGCACAGATGTTTTCTGATAATAGATGTTTTGTTTAAGCTGAATGGTGCAACAGTTGGATGGATTCATGGTTGCTTGAAAAATCGTACCCAACGAGTGCTTGTAAATAGCTCTGCGTCTACAAGGCGGGAAGTCTCAAGTGGAGTGCCACAGGGCTCGGTCCTGGGCCTGGCGTTGTTCAATATTTTTATAAATGACCTGGAGGAAGACATAGAGGGTATGCTTATCAAATCTGCAGATGACACAAAGCTGGGTGGGATTGCTAATTCTGAAGAAGATAGAGTCAGGATTCAAAATTATCTAGATAGACTGGAACAGTGGGCTGAGACATAATGAATTTCAATAGAGATAAGTGCAAAGTCCTACACTTAGGTACAAAAAAATCTAAGGCACAGATATAGAATGGGAAGGACTTGGCTTGACAGCAGCATATGTGAAAGGGATTTAGATGTTCTTTTTGATCACAAGCTAAACATGAGCCTGCAGTGTGATGTGACTGTGAAGAAAGTTAATGCAGTCTTAGGATGCATTAACAGAAGCATTGTGTCCAGATCATGGGAGGTGGTAGTTCCACTCTATTCTGCTATGGTCAGGCCTCACCTGGAGTCCTATGTCCGGTTTTGGGCACCACATTTTAGGAAGGATGTTAACAAGCTCGAGCGTGTCCAGAAGAGGGCAACCAGGATGGTGAGAGGGTTGGAATCCAAGTCTTATGAGGAAAGGCTGAAAGAGTTGGGTATGTTTAGCCTGGGAAAGAGAAGGCTTAGAGGGGACATGATTGCAGTGTTCAAATATTTGAAGGGCTGTCATGTAGTAGATGGAGCAGCACTATTCTCTCTTGCTCCGAATTGTAAGACTAGATCTAATGGGTGGAAATTACAAGGGAGTCGTTACCGGCTCAGGAGAAACTTCCTAACTATAAGAAGTGCTTGAGCAGTGGAACAGACTGCCTCGGGAGGTGGTGGATCTCCTTCGGTGGACGTTTTCAAACAGAGGCTGGACGACCATCTTTTGGGTATGTTGTAGGGCTATCTTTTGGCTATGCTCCTGCAGAGTGCAGGGGGTTGGACTAGATGACCTGCAAGGTCCCTTCCAACTCTAACAGTCTATGATTCTATGAATAAAATGCTTTTAAAGCCTACAAATAGACTTTTAAATGCTACAGTAGTTATGATATTATGGCTGTGATGCTTCAGAATTTGCTTATGCTCATTCCCACAGTACAGACTGCTGTGAATGGCATGGCATCATATGGAGTCCCTATGCCTTGGGGTACTTCTCATCTGTCTACACTGCCTACATCAAACGGCTGGTGTGGTATAAACTGGAGGTGAGGTGCTATCAATGTGATAATGACTTCCAGCTCAACTCCTCTTCATCCAAGTCACGGAGGCAGTAGAAGTGCTGAACTGATGCTTGTAATTTGTAGTGGGGTTGAATTAAAGTTAATAAAGTTAAGTGGTCTAGACAAGATGGAGGTTTGGTGGTAGGTCATTCAGTGGCGTTTGAAAGTGAGTTTCAGTCTGTTTGATTTGCAGTAATCTCAGATCAAAAATTTTGCTTGGGGTTGCTGTTAAACCCAATGCTTAATCTGGATGCTAAGGTAGCATCTCCAGCACAAGGCACTTTACCAGCTTAAGTTGGTGTATCAGCTGTGGCTTTTCCTAGGAAGGGTTCCACATGCCTGTAATGTTTCAGTTAGATTGCTCTTATAAATGGGCTAGCCCATGGACAGAAACTTGACTTTATTCAGAACACAGTAACTACATTATGCCCTGGGATTTTTTTGGTTTAGTTTAAGAATTTATACCCTTCTGTGGATATAAACATTTATCTCCATCTGCAGACTCCAAGGCTTACAAAATAAACACAGAAATACAGCTTAAAGAAACAGACAGGACATATACAATATGATGTCCCATTATTCTTGGCTGGTGTTTTTTTCAGTAGTTAGGCTCACAAAGGGCTGTGGGCAATAAGACATGGATAAGAGACAAGAGTACCAAGAACTTCTGGTTCCACCCAGGCTAAATCAAGGAACAGAAGTGGAAGGAGTGGAAGGCTGGGCATGTCCCATCTTCAGCTGGCAAAAAGATATGCCCAGCCTTCCACTCCTGGTAACTGAATTAACTCGGCAGAGTTATGAGATTTCAGATGTTTTTCTGTATACTCTTGAGCATGATCCAGCTTTGATTTAAAAAGCCCTCCATGGCTTTAGAACTGGAGAATCTGAAGGACTAACCTTCTCAAATATGACTAAAGATGAAGACGCCTCTCTAGGCTTTTTAAAAATTAGTCAGGTGGTCACAAAAGAATTCACTTTTTCTTTTGTAGGAACCTGTTAAAAGAATGTCCTTTCCAAAAAGATTAAGGAGATGCCAGTGCTGTATACTTTTAGGGACCAGGTTAATTCCCCCCCCCCAAGGTTGTTAATTACTATTTTTGCTTTTAACCTTTCCTAACTGGTTGTTTGATTCATAGTTCTCTGCTTATGATTTACTCTGCAGTTTTGTAATTTTATTATATAACTTGTGGACTGTATAATTTGGAAATCCTCTTTGTAGATTTTTATCAGGAAGGCAGACCTTTATTGGCCTAGCATGATATTACAAAAACATAAAAATAAGACAAAACAGAAGGTTTTATACCACAGTGTATAGTTTTATATGGAAAACCAGAGTACAAATACATAAATAAGTGAAATATATTTTGAACTTGACTTGTACCATACTTACATTGGGCACCAATAAGAACATAAGAGATGCCAATGTTGGATCAGGCCAAAGGCCCATCCAGTCCAACACTCTGTTTCACACAGTGGCCAGAAATACCCTGTGCCATCCGGCGGTCCACCAGTGGGGCCAGGACATTAGAAGCCCTCCCACTGTTGACCCCCCCCCCCCCAAGCACCAAGAAGATAGAACATCACTTGCCCCAGAGCCCCTATCTATACCTTGTGGCTAATAGCCACTGATGGACCTCTGCTCCATATGCTTATCTAATTCCCTTTTGAAGTCGCCCATGCTTGTAGCACCCACCACTTCCTGTGGCAGTGAATCCCATGTGTTAATCACTCTTTGGGTGAAGAAGTACTTCCTTTTATCCGTTCTAACCCGACCGCTCTGCAATTTCATTGAGTGCCCACAAGTTCTTATATTGTGAGAAAGGGAGAAAAGTACCTCTTTCCCTACCTGCTCTATCCCATGCATAATCTTATAAACCTCGATCATGTCACCCCTCAGTTGTCGTTTCTCCAAGCTAAAGAGCCCTAAGCGCTTTAACCTTTCCTCATAGGGAAAGTGTTCCAACCCTTTTATCATTCGAGTTGCCTTTTCTGCACTTTTTCCAAAGCTATAATATCCTTTTTAAGGTGTGGTGAACAGAACTGCACACAGTATTCCAAATGAGGTCGCACCATTGATTTATATAGGGGCATTATGATATTGGCTGATCTGTTTTCAATACCCTTCCTAATAATCCCCAGCATAGCATTGGCCTTCTTTATTGCAATCACACACTGTCTCGACATTTTCAGTGAGTTATCTACTACAACTCCAAGATCTCTCTCTTGCTCAG